TGTATTTCATAGATTGGTTTGTTTGTTGTACAGTCGAAAGATGTGAATAATTGTTTCAACATTGAATGAAATCGTTGAGATATGTTATGAATTGTTTTTACACTGAATAAATCAAGTGATGCATTGATTGTGTATAAGAGTTGATTGGTATTGAGATCATGTTGGAATAGAAGTGAGAAATCATACTTATTTGTAATATGATTATCATTAATGTCCGTTGTAAAAGGAATCGACGAAAGTTGACTATCACCAATCATTATTTGTTTATTTTCAGTTGATGTCATAGATGATAGAAAGTGAAATGATATATCAAGAAATGTAGGTTTTGAAACATTTTGATGTTTATTGAGAATACGTTGAAGAGGAAAATAAGAGTATTTCATACTACTGGTTGCTATCTCTCCAACATGATCGAGTAGAGAATGAAAAGACCAGTGAGGATCCAGTTGACATCGTAGTGGAATGACATTCTCGAACAATCCAATTATAGATTTTAGTTCATCTCTATAACGATTGCCGATATTCATTGCAATACATAAATCTTTGTCACCATTTGTTAGTTTAAATAAGAAGAGAAAGTAAATAGCAAGTGCTAGATGTTCATGTTTGATATTGTTTGATGATGCATAGATAAGAAAATGATGTGAAAGATCTTGTTCAAAATCAAAAGAAATCGATGTTGCTCGATCAGTTCGATGTTCATTTGCAAGACGATATCGATCATATGGTAATGATAAAGATTGATCAAGATGGCAATCATGAAGAGCATCAAGCCAAAACATAGCTGCACCAGTCATTGACATTTGTTGTTCGATAACAGCATCTGAATAGAAAGTGAAATATATTAGAAAAAGAAAAGAGAAGAAATAGTGATATATACAATCAAGATAGCGTAGTGTGGTATTATCATTATTATTAGATACTTGACTTGTTGTATATGCTTGATCAAGATCATGAAGAAATATATTGATTGATAAATAATCAAATACAGCATGATGAAAATTAAAGATGATTACATCCTTATTAGAAAGAACTTCATTAGAAGAGATTTCTTTGTGGTAAACAAGATGACATCGAAATACAAGACCTTGCGAAAGATCAAAATATTGAGTGTTTCCTCGTTCATCATACATGATATCGTGAAGTTGTTCATCTGTTTTATAAGTACTTTCAATCAATGTAAATAGTCTTTTATTGTTATCATTTAATTCAATGATTCGTTGCATGAGCAGATTCTTTTCCGTATCAATGTTTAATGATGTATGAAGTGATTGATGTCTTGCAAGAACTAATTGAATAGCGTTATGTATTTGTTGAACTGACAGAGTACAATTTGTAAAGAGACGGTATATAAATGGCACATTATAAAGTGCTATTTGTGGTTTGTCTGAATTGAAACGGATTCGTTCATCCAACCAAATACGTGTTTGTGCATAGGATGCTGGTGCTGTAAAAGTGAAACTTCAGTATTACTCCTTTGAAGACGAGATTACTTTAAGAAAAAATGAAGGCTTATAAAAGCTGAAAAGAATATATTCATTAAAAAGAGAAACACGATTTTAATCATAGACTTTCAGCAGCATCTATTTTTCTTAAGTATAGTTTATAGACTCAACCATATGATTAACACGCACACACAGGATCATCTTGGAATTGAAAATTGTGTCTGAATTCAGTAAATATCGTTTTGACTAACGTTTTAAGTGTACTGTGAAATTCATGTTGCATCCTATTTTACCTATACAATAGTGAAGAAAAGGCCGTGTTACGATTCCACTGGCTAGTGAAATAGGCTGAAGACATCAAGTCTCTATTTTCAGCAAGCTTTCAAACAAAATTTACGAAACTTGACTAGTTTTATAAATACTCTTTTCCAGACGTAATTCTTCAAACCATAATTTTTCGGGTATTCATTAACGTAATCATTTGTAATTTAAAATTTTTAATTTATAGAGATCATATCTAGTTCTTTTCTCATGGTCTGAATCACACTCTCGATGTACTTCGTCAAGTTTTAGCTACATGTTGATATCAATCTCATAAAATTTAGTTGAATATTTATTGCCTACAAATAGAAAAATACTTTGAACATATGTTTTTTTATCGAAGTAAAAGATAGGCATCATTGTTTTGATCTTTGTCTTCGTAAAGTAATTTAAATAAATATATGATTCATAAGGTTGCTTTCGATAAATAGAAGAACATTTAATTTTAGTATTTCAATCTAATCTCTGTAAAAATTTGAATTTAAATTTAGCTGCTCTTTATTTGAGAATAGAGTATTCTAACTTCTATCATTTATTCTATGAGTTCGATATTCAGCATATGAGTCAATATAGAACTTATTCTATTATTTGAGTATTTTTTCTGACTCTATTCTTAATATTCAGTTCCTAATGGGTTAGATTCTTTGAGATATTATTATCAAAGGTTTTATTAAAAAAGAAATCTCATGTGTTAGCACATCTACTCAAAATTCATCGCTATCTACTCAAAAAAGATGAAAAAATAGATATGCATACCTTCGTTCATAATAGTCGGTAATCTACGAAAGATTACTCCTTGAATTTCTTCAATTTCTTCTGGTAAAATAAGTAATAATTTGCTAATAGGCATACTAGATTGATTATGCATCCGGTCAGCAGTCATTGAGGAACCGAAGAGTTGCGTGAGCATATGTAGAAAACGATTTGCAAGTAGATCAACATCAGCTTGATGTTGGAATATATCGGCCGAACAATCGAGAAAACACTCCGTGCTTCGTAAGTGGTGATCATGAACTATTGTGAGTGATAAATCAAACAATGCTATTCCATTACCATGGGATCGATCTCGATCGAAATAGATACCAAGAACAGTACCTTCGTTTGTAGTTGCCTCCAATTTATTATTCTGTGTTATAGATGACATCAACGATTCATAATGAAATAATGTTGAAGGTAATACTTGATGCGCTCGTTGATCATATGAATTAATAATATGCTGATAAGGTAAACAACCATGTTCAAGAACATTGCTACTGAGCTGTTGTACCTTTCGCACCAGATGATCGAATGGATTATTCGGCTCAATTTTCATTCGATATGGCGTAAGATTAACGAACATGCCAATCATGTCTTTTGTCTCTTGTACAAATCGATTGGCTATGTTACCTGCTACACATAAGTCGTCATCATTCATTAACTTGAATAAGAATGCATAATAACAAGCAAGTGATAGCGCAAACATTGTGATATTATTTGAGGAAGCATATAACATCATCGCATCAACAACATATTGATTGATAGAGAATACAGTTGAAAGACCACGACCTGAACGTATCTGTTTGGTATATGCTTTGCCAGGCACCAATTGTCGTATTCGATTCCAGTCATAACCGTCCATAAGATTGAACCAAAACTGACGTGCTTTATTCATTTTTGAGTCCATTCTTGTATCGGCTAGCATTGACTGTTCGTATAATGTAAAATCGATATATTGTGGAGTCGATAAAATTGGTTGTTTATGACCACTAGTCAAACAAGCTTTTTTAAATGCTTCGACAAATGGTTTAAGTGAACTATTATCGAATGATATGTGATGAAATGTAATAGCCACAAGATCACCTTCAGACAATAGATGATCATGTTCATTATTACTTCGTTGGATTATGTGGCATCTGACTACTCTTCCTGATTCAATATCGAAGTGTTTTCCTATAGATTCATTTGTAAGTAGCCGATCGAGTTGTTCTGATGTACTAATGCCACGTGAATGTTTAAATGAATAAATATCATTGGTGGCAGCTTGAATATATTGTTCAATTTGATTACTTTGTGAGTTAAAACGAACAGCAGTACGAAGAACAGTATGTTGTTCAATTAATGCGAGTATAATTGAACGAATACGTTCGATTGATAATGAACCTTGTTTGATTACTAATGGTACTAAAATGTTGTAAACAGACAGGTCGGAAGAATGAAAATAAAGTTGTTCATGAAGCCAGATTCGTTGTTGAACGAATGAAGCAACAGCTGCTGTTCGTTTTGAAGTCAAAAGTTGTCGTTCTTTGTGTGCGTTTGTTCCTGCTATTATACGCTTACGTGCAAGCATTGTATAATCAAGGTATAAATCAATAAATATTGATTAATCAATAGTATAAAATAAGAAGCTTAATAGAATCTACAAATTAAAAAGAAGACGAGAAAAACTAAATAGATATTACAAAATATGAGATAAGAACAGTGAACACATCATATGAGAGTGATATTATTATCAAGAGTACAATAAACCAATGTACAATCTTCTAATAATACTGCAGAATGAAACAAGAAAATTGATTGAGTATGGCTATGATATTATATTAGATAATAAAAAAATATGTTAATTTGATATTGTTAGTGAGTTAATTAACTATTATAGATTTTCACAAAAAAATATTTAATCGAAGAAATTTATTAGTTTTAATTGTTAGGAAATCTACAAATATTCCTATACTACAATAATCGATATATGTAAAATAGGTTTAGTAAATAAGAATAAATATTTGATTAAATAATAATTGTGAATATTTTTTAATTATGAGCATCTAAAAGATGTAATTGAGTATTAGTAATGAGTGAGTGTGTTTTGAGTTGTTTTAACATTTCATAAGCAATACTTTCTTCTGGTTTGTTTCGAATAGCTACTATCTGATAAGATCCACATGGTTGAATACGACGCATTTGTGTAATAAGACTTTGAGCATATGTAGATATAGATGATGATGTTATTGTTGGTATTTGTAAAGCATAGATATCATTTGATGATATTTTATTTTTTTCATTAGATAATTTCTGAATAAATAATGTAAATAAATCTTCATTATTATTATCATATGATATTTGAGTAATACAAAAAAGAGTTGAAGTATTATTTTGATTTGAACGATGTAGACAAATGATATTGTCTAAACCAGTGTATGTTGATGTATTAGAATATTGAGCTTCATTTCTATTAACTAAATCAAAATCTGAATCATGTTTTTTTGTAGCTGCTGATGATGTTGTTTGTTCTTTTTCATTAAGTTTACTATAAACAAGTGTTGCAATCATTTCAATTGAAAGTCCTTGAAGAAGATCAACTAATGGTATATAAATGCCAGTTTCTTGACCTAACCAATTATATAATGAAACAGCAGCTAATGAATCCATACCTTGACTAACAAGTGAACGGTCAATAACTATACGATCAACACTAGCTGCACCTAATAATCGTGCAACAGCTGATTGAGTTCGTTCAATAATTGTTTCTTTTTTTATTCATAGTAGACTCATTTGAATTACTTTTTCCTGGGGATGATGGTTGATCAAATTTCATTTCTTTATAACGCTCACCAACTATTTTTCTTAGATAAGATGTAGCTAATGATGGATAATTTCGATGTAATGTTTGCCAATTAACAGCAAAAATAACAGGACATGGACAAATCTTTTGAGTTTGATGAAAACATTCAATTAATTCGAATACAGTTACTGTTGGCATTAATTCAAAACCTTGTGTCTCTTTCAAAGTACTGAGCATTTCTTTATGACGATGAAACATTCCAGCACCACTTACAGCTGGTAAACTAATTGACAGTGCTGGTAAATTAAGTTTTTCAAAACGATAATGAGCAAGTGCATCAAGAAATTGATTACCAGCATTATAACCAGCAGATGAAACTTCAAGTAAATGATTTCGAATTGATGAAAACATAATAAAGAAATGAAGAGGTGCATGAAGAAGTTGTGTAGCTTGATGAAGATACCATGCACCACGAACTTTTGGTGGTAAAACAAGTGATAAATGTTCTTGTGTTAAATTACCTAAAGTACGATCTTCTGAAACAACAGCACTATGAATAATACCACGAATAGGATAACAAGTTTTTTGAAATCTTTCAATTAAATCATGAACTTGTTGAAAATTTGTTACATCTGCTTGAACAACATCAACATGAGCATTATATTCTTTTGTTGTTCGTTTTAATCTTAACCAATCATCATACTGTGGATTCGAAGGTTGTTCAAGTTGAACTAATGTTCGACGACTCATAAGTGCTATATGTTTAACACCTCGTTGTTCAATCATCCATCGAGATATTGTTAAACCAAGACCACCAAAACCACCAGATATTAAAATTGTTCCTTCATTACAAACTTCTGATGAAAACATTGTATTATCACTTACAACTATTCATTAAGAAAAAATGATAATTGAAAAAAAGAAAATATAAAATATGATTACCTTTTAATAAACTATTAGATTGTTTTTTATTAATAGCTAATGGTTGATCAGATGAAGTTATACGAAAAACTGTTTTACCCATAACTTGACCACTATTACATCTTAATAATGCTTCTATTACTTGAGATGGTTCATAGCTAACTGTTGGTTCAACAGCGCGCAATTTACGTTGAACAAATAAATCAATTGCTTCTTCAAGCATAAGACGAATAAGAGGTGATACATGATCAGCTAGTGAAATAAAATCAATTACATGAAAGCTACAGTCTGATCGTAATTGAAACATTGATAAATTATTATCATGATAAATATCTCGTTTACCCCATTCAACAAAATGACCATGATATGCTAATAATTTTATTGATTCTTTTAGTAAATTGCCTGATAATGAATTAACAATAACATCAAAACCTTGTGGAAGAATTTCACGTATATTATTAACAAAAGACGTATCTCGACTATTAAATACATGTTCAATACCATAATATTCACGAAGAAAACGACGTTTTTCTTCAGTTCCAGCTGTAGCAATAACACGAGCACCAATATATTGACAATATTGAATACACCATTGACCTGCAGCACCTGTTGCAGCATGAATAAGAACAGTTTGATCAGCTTGCAAATGAACACGGTATTTAAGAGAATATATAACTGTTAAAAGTGGAGTTGGCATACCACATAATTGTTCAGCGGTAAGAGGAGAATCAGATGGAATACGTATTATAAGTTGTGAATTAATCATAATATGAGAATGATATGTACCATCACCAGTAACACCTACAACATGATCACCAACTTGAAAATTAGTTGTTGTAGGACCTACACGTACAATAGTACCAACAAAATCTGAGCCTGGTTCTGTATCTTGATTAACTTTTGGTTGATCTTCATCAGATTGTGCAAAAGTACGTGTATATGGATAAAGACCACGTGATTTGTGTACGTCACGAAAATTAATACCAACACAATGAACACGAACTCCTACCATACCCGGTAATAATTCTTTTTCCCTATCTTCTTCAATCCATGTTAATTCAGAAAGAAAACGAGATTGTGGTACACAAAGACGAAATGGTTTTTTGTCAGCATCTCGTTTAGGAATAATAGATATTTGTTCTAATTTAGACTTTCCTTGCTCATCATTATCATCAACAGATTTGTGTAACATTTCATAATGCCATGTTAAATGTTGAACTTGATTTTGATTTGTATGATTAAGACGAAGAACAACTTCACAAGTATCAGTTGAATATCTTGAATTAATCATATATTCTATTAAAGTATGAATAAATATTGACTGATTATTATTATTATTTAATGATATTTGAAGATCAATAAGTTTTAATCGATGTCGTTCATATTCAGTTATTAAACTTCGTGCAAGACCAATAAATGGTGATGCAATTATATTAAGATTAGAATCATTATTGAACTGAGCATGATCTGTAAGAACATATACAAATGGATAAAAATGTGGTGATGATTTTTGAATTGTTTGAAGAATACGTGAAAATGTTCCGCAAATTAATTCTTCGTCTTGTTTAAATGCTAAATCATCATTATTTTCATTAAGCAAGATTTGATCAAGTTGCCATGCAAAAATAATAGATACTTGTTTATAAGTAGCTAATAAAACTGGTATTACAGAACAAATATTATCTAAAGTTGAATTACGAATATCAAAAATTTTAATATCTGAACATGGTAATAATGATGATAGAATATGACTAAAACTATTTTTATTATTATCATCTTTAGTAAATATTAACCATAATTGATTTATTCTTTCAACAAGTGTTTGTAATATTTCGTTCGATGTTGTTTTTTGACAAATAATAAATGTACTTTCATTTTCATTTAATGTTGATTCAATAGTATTAAATCCTTCGATTTGTTCTAATAGTGTTGTCCATTGTTGAATATTATTTAATGCACGATTATTATCATTATCATCATCAGATGAAGATGACCACCATCGATAAATAAAACCAAAAATAAGATCAAAATAAAGAGGAACATGAACTAATTCAAGTAATAAAAGAAGACCATCAGGAACAAGTAAACGACGAAGATCAATTAAAGAATTTGTTAAATCTTGATTTCCTAGAAGTTGATTTGCAGAAAATATAATATCAAATGATTCGAATGGGATTTTTTCAAATGTTTTACTATCATATAAATCAATTGTTTCATCATAAATAATAGATACATTTTTTTGATTAGCTATATGTGTATTAAATGTTTGCTGTGCATTTGCAAGTTGTACTGGATCAGAATCTGCATAATGTAAATCAATTAATAAACCTGTTTGTTGAGATAAATTAAGAAGAAGATCAAGAATAGGTACAACATCTGAACAATCACTATCAGTTAACCAAAATATACATAATCGATAATTTTCAAATGAATTGTCTTTAGTTTGTTGTTGTTCATATTGTAATTTTAAATATTGACAAATCGAATGAAAAATTTGTCCAATTTCATCATCACCAAAAAATATATCTGATCCATTTTTTTCTCCACGAAGAATATCTTTTAAATGTAAACCATATTTATTTAATATTACTAAAAATGGTTTTAAACGAGGAAAACGTTCAATTAATTGAACAAGACGAAGTTGTGTTGAATGCCATGTTACTTGTTCACGTAAAGTTGAAGCAAGAGAACGGCATGCACTTAACAATGGATGATATTGTTGATTTAAATCAAGATCTTTGATTGTCATTTGAGCATAATAAGCAGCTAATTCATTCAATGGTTCTATTGATTCAATGAAATCTTGATTACTAATAGACTTAAGTTCATTATTAAGAATTTGATTAGGTGATGGAAATAAATGTGATATATCTTTTATTGTTGGTGAATCAGTTCATACTCTTTTCATACAATAATCTTTTATAATTGTATCTAAATATGTTTTATGATCAGTATTAGGTAAATCAGTTGTTAGATTTAATTTATCATAAATTGTTTGTTCCATTGACCATCAACCAGAATGTGCACCTTGAACTTGTTGAATAACAGCATCTTCAAATGTAAATATTGGTTCTTCGGTTTTATTCTCCATTGGAAATATCCATAGATCAAGACTATATATTTCTTCTTGGTCTATACCACATATATTATCATAATAGTTTCCACATACTTCGATATTTGTTGATCGATTCGTTTTTATTTTTATTTTACTTGAATAAATAGATTTTTGAATCCGTACTGGAAGAAATATTGTTTCAACACGTGGTAATATAACTAGATATGGATGCAGTAAATAACAAAAATGAGCAATCATTATTA